GATAGGCTGCAGAGGAGGGATGGAGGTGGCAATTACAGCAAAGACCTTCAGTAAGGGGCACTCAATTAGCTGTGCCCAGCTGACTGCGCCATTCGACCCCCTCCATCCTTCTCCACAGTTCGGCTTTGGCATGCGAAACCATGTTCGTATCGGGGATTTCGTTGCACTGGTCCCACAACTAATACTTTGACAACATGCCCGTAGTGTGCGCTATGCGCATCGAGGATCGAATAGAGGTGGGCATGAAAGAATAGCTGGCTATCAGAACCCTGCAATTTCATGTTCCCATCGCAGCAAATGCCGAAAGTGGCACTCTTCTACTGACGGAATTGCACACTACATGAAAAGAAGTGGATCCCGTTTTGTATGCTATTCGTTGTATCTTTGATAGATCACAATCTTTCAAGTTTCTGCTTCAAAGTCCATGCACAAGAGTGGTTGAAAAATTCGGTTCAAGAATTCATGTGAAACCATCAACTCGAAAAAGAAAACTTGAATATATCACGAAAACCTCCACTTTTTTTATCTAGTAGCACGAATTGAGAGAAGACATAGAAGTAAAAAACCTAATAACGAATATAAAACAATACCTTCATAATTCCAACTACTTCATCGACCTGCGCCTGTGTTTGTTGCAGGCGTTTGTTAGATGGTCGTGGTCCTTGACTCCCTCCTGCCCCAGCAGCTGCTGCATCTCCTTGTCCTAAATGACGATTTCAATACTAAACAAGCTCTATTCCACCCCAGGCTCAACTAAATACTAGTTAGTTAGGGTTGGAAAGACTCCAACTTCAAGCGAGCCTGGTCGGCGGAAGAAGAAGAGGGCCGTATTTTGCTTCTAAAGAAATGTTTTCGATTGTTGGCTTTACTTGGTTTTTACCGTTCCACAAGCGCTACATCCCCTCGCTCGACTGCCACTTTCCAGAGAAAAAAAAACTAGAAAATGCCTCCGAAAAAGTGGTAAGAAGTTGGAAGAATTTTACAAGACAGTAGGCACCGTGGTAGGATGCGGAAGAAAGGTCACACTAGAGCAGGCAGTTTTGAGAGCAGGGTCATAGTGTACCCTGAGTTCACGACATCCGAGGACCGGCACCGCGCCTACATCACTTAGCATTCCTGCATAGTTGACTCGACATCGCATTTGATATAAGATAAAGTCCACCTCTTTTCTACACGATTCTTTCACAGCAAAAGTGCAAAATGCCCCCTCCTTCGCCAAACCGCGTGTTCTAGAGAAGTTTCCAAATAAGGCGGAAATAAAGGTAGAGTAT